ATCGGTAACTTTGCGATGCACGTGGTCATGGATGGATGGATAGGTGAATGTAAATTAACCATCAGTTATTTACTCAAGCATGACAGCCGGTACTTTTGCAGTTGAGCCTACCGTTCTGGTACCGTATCAGAGCTCGTACAGCTGGTTCTGTCGGAATTTTTGGAGCTGTCAGGATTCACGAATAAAAATAAGAAAATTACTTACTCAAGTACTGTAAATAATTGTATTGTGGCTCGAGGGATATTTCTCTACACTACTCGGGGATACCACTCGTTACTTGAATGATATTATTACGATACCGTGCCCGCAAGCTAGCTGAAGGTTACGTGTTAATCGATATTCCAGTGCCCATGTTGCCGAACCCAAGTCGCGTTTTTTCTTTTTCTTTTTTTTGGTAGAGACGCGGGAAAAAAACGACGCGACGACACCGATCCGGCAACATGAGCACCTGCTCGAGCATCCGCATTGGAAAAGGATACGATACCGGTATGGTTGACTAACCCTGGCAAGCTTGCCGCCGATTACCGTATGTACTCGAGTAACTGTGCGCAGAACTAGTTCCAACACTTGCGACACGTCCATGGCATGCCTTCCAGCCCAGCATGAACTTCGTAGTACGGTATCATAGCAGTGGGTAGCTCAATACGACTTTGTACCGCACAGGCTTTCCGCCCCTCCAGAAATTCTCCCCACACGTTGTATCAGACTTGGATCCGAAAATCATAGTCACTACCGGTGGTATGTTGGTGGCAGGATTTTAATAAATGTTCAAGCTTGCAAAGAAGGTGTTTGGAGTTAATTAGCATTATTAGAGTTTTGTAATATATAAAAGCTATTTGAGAATGAGGTAGTGGAGTAGGGAGTAAGTTGTATGGTAATACTAGTAAGTGATGATTGGTATTTCACTGTCATAAATAATTCTTATACTATTGTCTAGTAGGGTTCATATAGAGAGGTATGGAATGAATAAAAAAATAAAGCTAAACTCTGGCTTTTTTTTTTTCATTTTTTTTTTTTCAACACTTGAGAGTGGAATAAGACTATTAAATATATATATATATATATATATTTTACAAGATTACTCTTTATCTGACTCAATTCAGATATCATATACTGCAGAATTTAAGCTGATATCATACAAGTGATACCACAACACCGACTTTTTGATATTCAAGTTACATCAAGCATTTCCCATCTTCTGAATTGCCAACCCTTTAAAGTGGTATATTATATATAACCTTTATCCAGAAAGCAGATTAGTACAACCTCACAAACATCCAACCACACACTCAAGTATCAAACACTACAAGTCCTTCAAACAAGTATCCAGGAACCAACATTCCTAATCGAATTGACAAAAAAAATGACACCTAGATATTAACCCAGGAAGGAGGTATATGTTATACCATACGAATCAAGTAAAAGCTATTATGCAGAAATATCGAGCAGCCTCAAGTCCAGCTGAGGCGCACGTTACGCAGAACGAGGTGCAAGATTCGGGAACTACGCGCAGATGCCGTATATATACATACGTGCATGCATACATACATACATACATACTCGTACATACATATCACACGTTCGTACATAATCGGCAGGAGCCCTGACGCTTTTATTATTATTATTATTATAGCCCCGACAGACCTGTTCGTAACCGGACCCCCCCCTCCCCCCCCACACCGCGAAGGAAGATTAAGATTCTGGGTAGAACTCGTCCGGTCCGTCGATAGCCGCTAGGAGTATATTATGTGCTTGTTGAAAAGGTACGATACGATGGGGAATACATAATTTACGCTGTCGACTACCCCCAATCAACCATAAATAGTCGGTACCCATCCAGATCGACGGGCGCTTCTCTACTCTACTCGTACTGTCGTACTGTATACTATCATGTGCCTTCCGTTTCCATCAATCTTTTCAAAATATGTATCTACCCGAAAAAGAAAGAAAGAAAGAAAGAAAGAAAGAAAGAAAGAACAAACACCACAACAATCCACTTACCGTACTCAACCGACCGACTCTGCAAAAACCAACACAACCCGGTTCAACATCGAGTGATACCCCATGACCGTAATGTCAATAAGGCACCGGAATCAAAAAAAAAAAAAGGAGGGTTGTATGGTATGATACAGTATGATGGTTGCGGGAACTTCCTCCTCCATTTACTAGGATACCGCCATAAATGGCTAGCCAGCCGGCCAGGAAATCGGTTACGCCGCGATTGGTGCTCGTACTGTAGTCTAAATACGCATGCTCTCCTTAAGTTATTCGGGGTTTTGGTGGCGGTGGTGGTGTGGTGTGTGGTATGGTGGATTTGTTGTTACGGGTTTGTGTCAGGATATGCAAGCACAGTTACTCGTTACTCCAGCTGCTCATGTGCCGGACTATATACTCGAGTATACTTAACTCGAGTAGGGTGGTGGTAACCGAGGAATGGTGGTAGTGGCCGCGATGATAAGTTTGAGGGTAATCTCTCCTCCTCTGCAGGATTGGGTTTGAAGTCATGGTACGGGGGAAGTATTCACATAACTGCACTTGTATGATGAGTGAAACCGGGATTAGGAGTGGGAGGGCGGGGAAAAGGAGTCATTGATGGGTTTGACCGTGATGGGATTTTTTGCTTTGTATTTCGCGGTGCGAGAACGGGTGTGATACGGTGTTCCCGGGATATTGTGGAACGAGCATTTGCCAGGAATGGGATTTGGATTCAGGACTCGGTCGGTTCTGACCTGTCTGTTCCGTCACTAGCGTACTGTACAGTACTGTGCTTGTTGTATCTATACATCTGTCTAATGATCTGCTCGGCGTCATAGATTCTCACTTGTGTTCGAATATCGGTAGAGATGGTCGCTTCTCCGCTAGAGTGGGTCGACAACCCCCTGCATGGCATTCTAACCTATTATAACAAATGCCTATCCGTGCAATAGACTACCGCCTCATCTCAATTTATATAAGGGCGAATATCATACCAAAAAAAGAATCCTAATTCCTATGGGCTCGTGTGTGTGCAGTAAATACAAAACTCGACTAGACTATCCACAAAACCCACCTCCATCGATCCCGTTCATAGCCGGCGAACAACCGGAGCGCACAGTAGACTACAGGGCTCTCCGGCTGGACCCCGGACTCGTCACCGGTTGCAGTGTGCCAATCGGTCCACGGGTGCTTTTGTTGGCTGGCCGGACCAACTCGGTCCGGGCACAGAATGTTCGTGCGTTGTATAGTAGGGTAGAGTATCCCGAACCTCCGGGACTGCGTGACTTGGGAGGTGGATTTTAGTGCAAGCGGGTGGCTACTATACGATCCTACGGATTATGGGGGGTATCATAGGCGGGGCAGGATGAAATGATCGTGCATGTGGAATTTCCCGGACTATTTATGCCCTGTCCCTGTGGCTCGGATGGGCGCACGCGGCGGCCACCTTTTCTTTAGAAAATCCCTGGATATGATATGGCGAAATGAGAGCTGTGCTTGGGAGTGTCATACCCGAGTACAAACGGTGGAGTATTCCATGATACCGGTATTTGGTTGGGGTGGGTTAGCGGCGATGTTGGTGACCTCGCTTTGAGAATCCGAGCAACTCCTTCCCTTTGCCGTCTCCTCTGTCCCGTTTCGTGATTTGGATCTTTTGTAACTCGTCTTTAATGCTCGGAGTACTATATTATGATATCGTAGCTAGGTCCGTCACTCCCCCCCCCCAATCGATTTACTGGTCTTGGAGCTTTAGGCGTTTTGCTGGAGGAGGGGTGTCCTCTGATCCTTCACGGTATATAATGATACTGATACTTAGGTCACCGGTGCATCACTTTGCGGCATCTGTTATCCCCAATAGCGCAATACCGATACTTCCTCAGGGCTTGCTTTGGTCCCAAGGTCCGTTTCTTCCTTCCACCATTTGCAAACAAGGTTTGAGAAAAACCCCCTCCAAATTGTGAGATCTGTCTAATCCGCTCCTGCGTCTAGCCAATTAGCTCTCCTAGCTCCTCATCTGAATGTGGCATACCCATCTATGGGAACTACGACAAGTACTCGAGTGTGATATCTACCCCCCCTCCCAAACAAACACAAAGCACGTAATCCTTGGCTAAGCCACGGAATGCGGTACTTGTGACGCCCCCAAGTTACTTCAAATAACCACCACCACGGCATCAACTAACCCCAAAAGCATTTTTAGAGTCCACATTCGGACTAGACTATCCTCCCCATAAGTACCTCAACGTACGACTTCGGTCACCAGCAGTCTGTATCATATTCCAATATCATGGTATTCAGAATCACGCTTTCTCGTTTTCTTACTTAGAGTAAGTAACCCCCCCTCCCCACCCTCTGCATTCTCCATCCTTTAGACCTGTATACGAGTAAGCCGTGCTTCCCCGTTGGGGGGTTTCTTCAAATTACCTTGCGTCATCCCAAGCACATCCGAAGCTGCTTTGCCGGCCTCCATGGTTTACAGGCGGTATGTGCCGTGTCATTATGAGGTCGGCCGAGCAAGGGCAAGATGGTCTGAGAGGGGGAAGTGAAGTGGAGTGAAGGGAAAGGAGGGGGATATCGATAGTTATTTCCTCCTCTTTCCTCTCCTGTTCTGAATACTACGCTGCACACGATGGGTTGTACTTTAAGCGATTTGGCTCATAGCCGCAAAACGAATCTGATATCATGATTCGCTCGGTTGTGTCTGCTCACCGTGGGGTGAGATTTCTCGGGAAGGGGGCCTATTTCACCTGTAGGCCCAGGACATAAAGTGATTTGGAATTGCGCTTCAGAAAGCCATCCTTTTTCCTGTTTGCCTTGCCTAATCGAACTAGGTGCTTGCTAGCGAAAAGAAAAATGGTCAAAATTGAAGAGGAAAGAACTTTCATTGAACACTACAGACGCCGTAAAACATACCGAAACTTGAAAGAAACTAGATTAAAAGAAAAAATGGTATCAATACCGCCAAAAACCCCTCCCCCTTTTCTCCCCTCGTAGTCATTCACCCGCCTAAAGTCACATAGCAGCACTTAATCTGTAGTGGACTTGAAAACAAACTTCTCCTCCTTCTCAAAAGGAACACCGAGCTCGAGCAGTCTTCCAAAGGCATCCGCAAACTCCCTGAAGAAGAGGTCGTTGTCCTTGGCGTACCTCTCAACATGCTTCCTAAACTCCTTGTCTTTGACGAGCGCCATGTCGGTTGGAAGCATCATAAGAGATTTAGTCGAAACATCCTCAAATTGCTTTGGTCCATTCCACTTCTTCCAGGCCCACTTCTCCTCGAGCAAGAGTTTGTAGTAATCGTTTGTCAGCATTGTTGGCGAGAAAGTCCAGGGACCTAACAATGCGTTAGTATTAGAGGTTATAATGATAACGCAGGGTAGGTGTGTGAGTGACAAAGTAGGCGGACAACGTACCATCAAAGCCGGAACGATCGGTGTGGCATCTGCCGAGAGCGTGGGCACCCGATAAAGCGACAATCTCCTGATCGTTGAAACCCATACGGTAGAAGATGGCTCTGAGATGCTTCTGTTCCTTAGTGGCGTCGGGAAGACGACCATCAGGAGTGCAAGCGGATACGTCACCGTCCTTACGTCCGGGTCTCCACGGAATCTTGGGACCACCCATCTCCTGGATTGCAGCAACAGCAGCAAGAGTCCAGAGGTCGGAGTACGAGATCCAAGGGTGCTTCTTCTTGATACCTTCGAGAAGGTCACGTGCGGTCTTCAAGCCGGCATTTGCACCATGCTCTGACTCAGGAGCGAAACGCATGGTGGCCCCATTGGAACCTCCAGTCTTGGTATCCTTGTCATAAGTTCCAGATGCGTGCCATCCAAGGCGGACAACTACCTTTTTACAACACAATTGTCAATTTAAACATCAAACATTAAAGGGGTTTACAATTGGGATACATACAGGTCCATAGGAACCATCGTCGTAATCATTATTCTCCAAGAGCTCCGCAACATCATTATAGACCTTCTGAAAGTCATCCTTAGTGGGGGTGAGCACGCCGCCAGTCTTCGAGGCCTGGGCGCCAGACAATGCGGCGGGGAGAAGATCATTGGTGTAAGCATAGTAACCACCAGCACCAATCAAACCAAGACCCAATGGGATAGCGATCTTGCTAGAACCCCCACCCGCTGAACCGCCAGAAGCATATCCACGGCGGCCAGTCTGTCTAATAGGTGCGGCAATAGAGGTGGTCGGGCGAGCGCGGGTCGCAGTTGTGAAATTGCGGCAGAGGGGAGTGGAGGTGAAGGACGCTTGCTTCGAAGCGCGAGTGAGAACACGGGCCATGGATGCCATGATGAATGAATGAATAGATGTGTGTGTCTGCGTATCGGCAGGAGCCTACGCTTTATTACTTGGGTGAAACAGGTAATCTATGGCCGTCTACCTTCTCGGAGAAAAAGGTAGAGGAGGGAGAGCGTGATATATTGGGATGGGCGGGAGAATCCTTTGTGAGACTCGAGCGGGGTGACAAGGGGGAGGAAGCGAAGTGGAAGTGAGAGGGATGACGAAGGATTGAGAAGAAAGAGGAGGGAAGTCGAGAAGGACGAGAACAGACCGGAACAAGGGTTAGGGCCAGGGGGGGTTGCGGTCATTTAACAAAGCTCTCGAAAGTATCATACTGTAAAGTCTACGCAAACGGCTGCTTTTTTTTTGATATTTCGACCGCGAATCTTTTGCTTTCTTTTCTTTCAAACCGCCTCGATTCAATGACAAAGGGTCTCGATTGATTATCATAGGGAATAGCTCTAGAAGCCCTCTCACTAATACTCGAGTAGCTGTTGAATCTTCCAATAGAAGACCTCTCGGTCCTTTACTCGAGTGCCGGTATGTACCTTCCTATCATACTTCCTTCTACCGGTATCTCCCCCTCCCTTCAAATGATGAGTAATTACACGTTGCACAGTGGCCAGCCCGTCCTCTACCCCCGTCGCTAGAGTTGCGCTAATGCGGCTACGCAGTTCGGCTTATCCCAATCTGCTTTTTTGTTACCCCAGACTTTTGCTGACGGACCCCCTCATGCGAGCTACTGGTCATAATAACGTTGAGGGAAAATCCCCCTACTACAGTATCAGAAGACCCCGAACAGCCCTGCGCGGCAGCACAAGAATTTCTCAACACAGCTATGGTACCGGTACCGGTACTGTACGGTACTCGAGTACCGGTATTGGTGAGTGCCACACTACAGTAGCCGCAAAAGATCTCGCTTGGAATCCTGATAAACCGCTCTTACAAGTACAAACTGTTCTCGCATGTTGTTCACGCCTAAGAGATTGGTGGGATAATTTAGGTCTTAGTTTAGAACCCTAGGTAATTTGTTTCCAGTTGCGGAGGGGAGACATTCCGGATCCCGTTCTATTCTTGACCAGGCCTCTTGGGTGCAACACCCGACGGACTACCGGCATGGGATAAGGGTAGGGAAACCATTGATGAGGACAGACAATGATATATCTATGATATGATAGCCCGTCAACCTCAAGTACTGTAACTGTTTCATGTTTATATATATATACTTTTCATTAAACTTTTATCATTTCGGGCATCTTCTATGCTACAGTAATCTGTAGCATCTGCCCTACCGGTACGAGTATCCTCAAGTCCCAAAACACTTATCATACCAGGCAAAAACCCGGAAGCCATCTCAAAACTAAAAAGTCTATCATACTCGAGCGGAGAAACTGTTCTGTAACTTCTTGCTGGACCTTATACTTGTGCCGTACGCAGGTATATTTTTGGTTGGTAATTCGTTCCCTCTTTTCCATCCATCGTGATTATGCACCTACCAGGTGTGGTGAACTCGAACACAGCGTGCCCGAGCAGTGTTTACCACGAGCTGAGAAGCTCTAAGTCACGGCTCGAGTGTTGGACCCGAGCCAAACTCGATCATTTGTGATGCTTCTTTTTCTCTATTTCATTTCAAATCTCGCGAGGGGCAATAGATGCAGAGTAGGAATTGCAAGTTGGGTTCGATCAAATCTTCCATGAAAATACTGCCCACAGCTGATCTCCCTTTTCCTTTTTTTGTATTTATTTGTTTGTTTTCTCCTCTCGGGTCTATCGTACAGCTCCATCTTTATTCAACCTTGCTAAGCAAGTGATATATCATACTACCGGTATGTCTGCTAACGAATCCAGGCTCGAGCCAGCTCCGGCTTTTCCTCCTGAGCTTATAATGGTGGGCTCGAGCTCGTTCCCTTGCGAGTTGGCTCGTGGGCAAACACTGGAACACAGGCAAAAGTTTGCGTGGCAAATTGCCTGTACAGTTCCGTACACATCTGGGCGCCCATACTATACCATAGCATCACAAGTTCACACCTAGATGCCCGGGCCCGTTATCTTCCCACCCGTATACAACATGGATATCCAAACAAACTCAACAAAAGCGGCAAACCATACAAGAGGGCTAGTGCATGGGTTTGGTGACGCACGGCGTATATATCATTATAGACCCTTCGATCATTCCCTCCGCCTGCGTTACATCACCAAGCCCTCGAAGAAGCACAACCAAAAGCGAGTATCGTCACCAAAGCCATGGGAAAACAGATGTCTGCTCTCAAGCTCGCACACAACCTCGTCGGCTCTAGCATTCGCCTTCGTGTGGCGCGGGGGGGGTTTCATAGAAGCCTTCATACTACTCAGGTAAGATATCGATCAATCAATCAATCAACCACACTAACTAGTTTGTTCAGAGAAGGACCCTTGAAGAGCTCTCCTCGGGCAACAAGCCTTCTCAGGACCATGGACGCTACGCAACCTGGGAGATGTTTTTCGACCAGAATAAGCGGTACACCGACCGTTCTTTAGGGTTGGAAAAGGTATGGCCTCGTTCCGAAAGGGTAGCTTGGACAATTGGCCATTAGACGGGTTTTAACTGAAGATCCGTTAGGATGCGGCGAAATCCCACAATGCTGTCAGAGCTGTCGGAGCTTCTTTGGATGAGTTGAGGAGGAAGGCGGATAAGGGGCTCGAGAGTTGGGAGACGAGGTCAAAAGACTGGGCGAAGAGATGAGTGCTCAATTCGCGGATTTGCACGGGGTACGTTCTGAATTCTTGGGTTCTAGTGAAGCCACTAATCTATGACAAGGCTCAAAAAAAGAATGAGGGCATGCTAGTTGTTGTTCATTCCGGTATTGGTTGAACATCCTTCACAATTGACCGTACATGTTACTAACATTTGGCGAAGCTGATTACTCTCGTGGTATCCCTGGATATGACCTGTATGAGCAAAGTAGGAAGCGAAAATAACTAGTTTTCCTTTATGAATTACTTTCTGTTTTTCTGAGGGGAAAACTATGGGTTTGCTAGAATGATTTTATGGGGTTCAGTGATTCGGTTTTCAACCGAGGATTCTGTAGTAAGCTACAATTGATACTTTCAAGGGAAAAAGTTGATACAGTTTCCAATGGTGGCAGGACGAAGACTGGTGGGTGACGAGCAGAAGTCAGTGACAAGTATTTTTTTTGTTAGCCTACTTTAACGAATTCGCTTTCTTGCTTGCCAAATACCCCTGTTTACCCGCCGACCATTTTCGTGTCCCTCCGAAGACTGTGCCCGAGGACAGTACGGTACAATACTCTAGCATGATTCATGCTGTACGGGAGAGTAAATACCGATCTCACATGTTTCAGGGTTGATGGTTAGATAAGATCTAGGGTAAGATAATCAAAATGAATCCCCCACCAAAAGAAATTCTTCGCCCCACCAACCAAACAACCAGCCAACCAAAGCATCGAAGAAAGAAAGCAATGCCCCTCCGACAACCCACCCACTACGAAATCCTCTCCCTCCCCCCATCACTTCAAAACCTCGCCTCGGGCACCGTCAAAAAAGCCTACCACAGAGCCCTCCTGGACCACCACCCCGACAAATCCTCCCCCCAGAAAACCCGATCAAAACCCACCTTCTCCATTGACCAGATCACAACAGCATTCACAGTCCTCTCTGACCCTCCTCAGAGGAGAAAGTACGATCAGGAACTCAAGAATGCGAATGCCGGGATCCCCCCCGCCGCCACCGCCATTGGAAAGGTGTTGCAAACGGTGGATTTGGATGATATGGAGTATTGTGAGGAGGAGCAGCAGCAGGGGGGGTGGAAGGGGGTTTGGTGGAGGGGATGTAGGTGTGGCGAGGAGAGGGGGTTTGTGCTTACTGAGGAGGATTTGGAGGATGGTGAGGGGATGGGGGAAGGGGATGGAGGGGAGGTGGTGGTTGGGTGTGTTGGATGTAGTCTTTGGGTGAGGGTTGTTTATGGGGTTGTTTCTCCCGAGGAGGAGAAAGAAGAGGAGGAAGGGTGAGGGCTGTTGGTGTGGAGTGTGGAGGGAGGAAGGTGGGAGATGTGAATATGGGTGGCTCATGATATATTGAGATTATAGAAGGGGGTTTGGAGAGGGTATGGGCAGGGAGCGTCGCGACTACTCGAGTGTCGTACCGTAGGATACAGTACAGCACATGTGCTCTCGACGGCAACTCATCGTGACCCTACTGTCTCCTTCGAGTCGCGATACAGCCTGCAGGTATAAGCCCGGGCTTGCTCACCGTGCTGCTTAAGTTCGTCTAAGGACTTATCATGTCGGTATACATTATACCGTACTCGAGTACAGTACCTATTGTTCATAGAAGCGTAGAATAGGGTAATTTACTAACACTCTACACATGTCACCAGAGAAGAACGGATCTAGAGCGGGTTACCAGAGATATGGTGAATTTATGCAGGAGGTGCTTAGAATCTTCTAGAGCACCGGAGGATTAGAGGAATGTGTTCATTTAGATAAAACTATTCTTAATAGTGGATGTGTAGCTCCAGGGTTACTCGAGTATATTGTACTACGTCCTTGGAGTCCCTCTATTGGCTGCTAGTTTGCTTTGTTAAGTGTGGGGGTCTCCGTGGGATGTAAGTTAGTTATCATGTATTATGGCCCGGGTTGTTAAAATCTTGACTTGGTTTGTGGTTGGCAAATGTCAAGTCAGAGACTCTGACTTTCTTGGTCTTTGGGTGCGCGCATAACAATCCATGGTGTAAGTCTCCAAGTTATGGATTGTTTGTATTTGTATTGCTGCTAACGTGGACTACTCGAACGAGGACTGGGTGGAGAAAGAAGCACTCGCAATTAGGTGTTGCCCTTGAGGGTGCTGTGGAGCCTTCAATACATTACACTGTATCACCCGAGATTGCCGTAATTGGTCCGCGATAATCCCCATATTTCAAAAGAAAGCCATAATCACGGATTCAACCGTTTAAGATCTTGAACATTGATAGAAGAAAACAGACGAATCCGTTGCCTAACCGTAGGGGGTACTTTTTTAATTCCCAATCCCATTATGCACAAAACCGCCTCCAGCCCGAATACGAGAAGAAAATTATCTACTTTTTCAACTGCTTCTGGTAGAAGGCGAGCTCTTCTCCCTCAAGAATGTACCCATCTGCACGACCGGACTGACCAGGGCGGGAAGAGATAGCGGCGTATAGACGACCAGCGGCAAATTGGGTCTCGAGGGCATTCTCGACCTTGGCGGTTGGAGCACGGGCGGCGAGTTTGCGCTGGACGGACTTGGACTTGGTGGTGGGGGCGGTCTCAGCGGCCTCAGCCTTAGCGGCCGCACCGCGCTTCTTTCCTAGAGGAAGACCGTAATGCGCCTCGTACCTGCAACATATATTAATATCATCTTGTAGCACAATCTGCAAATTAAGGGGTAATTGCCATTGTCGGAAAGGCGCAGCATCAATCTGAACAATGGCGGACTTGGTCAAGGTGTTGGTACGAACCAACTCGTTGTTGGAAGGATGGAAAACGACACCAATGACACGGGTCTTCTTGCTAATACCCTCAGAACCCCAGGAGAAGTTTCCAGCCTCCAAGCGGATCGCACGGAACTTGCGGTTTCCACCACGAGTACGGACAAGGTGAATGCCTAACAATTTTCGACCATGATCAGCTCTCTATCCGCTCTGTTGAAAAACCGGTCGAGTGATAAAGCCACCCACTCTAAAAAGAGCGGGGCTCTCCTTCCGAAGAAGGGGTTACGCGGAAAGTCAGGTAGACTCACGCTTAGTTCCAATACGAGTGCTGGCGGATTGGCGGCCGAGTTCGAAGGCACGCTTCTTGCGGTAGGTTGCGCGCTTTGCTCCGGTAGCGGAGCGCTTGTGGCGGGAATCCCTGGAAATACCCATGGCTGCTGTCTAGACTGTTGAGTAGTTAGCACTAGTATTAGGATGAAGAGTGTGGTCAGGAGGGGAGCAGTAGGAAGGGAGCATGATTGAGAAATTGGAGATAAGTCCATAACCACAGACTATCAATATCCCCTCACAGGCTCCTCTCCCCCACCGGAAGAAAGATTGGAAAAGAACCGCCAAATCCATTCGTACCTAGTGTAGGATTAACGAACCGTGTATGGAAGGAAGCGTCGAAAGCTCTGTCGTTGGTCGTCTAGGGAATGGTTGATGCTGTTGTATTAGAGTTGTCGGTTGACTAGAAACAGTGGGTCGAGGATTATTGGGCCAAGGCAAAACTCCCAACTGTGGGTGTGGGAAGGGCAAGTCTTGGCTAATGTGACTGGCATTTTTTGACCCGAAACCTCACGTGATGCCAAGATTTCCAACCAGACAACACATCTTGAAATCACTTTTCCCTTCTCCTGTGGCATCATCTTGTTTTCTATCATACTGTCCATCTCCTTTTTTCGATAATTTATACACCACTCCTATCACATTATGTCTTATTGCCACGTGATCCAATAAACTCAACCCTCAATGTAAGCAGTTCCTCTTCCTTTACAAGCAAAAAGAAGAAGAAAATACAACGCAGGAAATCTTTTCAAAATGTTTTAAATGCTACATAGCGATTTGGAAAGACTCCTCGTAAAGACCAATGGTTTTCACGAGGGAATTAGACCCCATGCAAGATTAAACCCCGTCTGTTTGAGGCTTTCATTTCTTTTCATGGGATGCTGGCCATAATTGTATGGGAACATATCGTGTCGTGCCTATCATAAGAGTCTTACAAGTGCGTTTGAATTTAAATTGAATATTGTTTTCCAAGCCCTGCATTGATATGTTTTACATGTTCGTTGAAACACGAGCCCAAGCTGACCCGTGCCCCGCAAGATCCTGCGCGATACCTTCCCTCCCCCCCCACTACGGCTGCGACTACTACGACTACGACCGCCACCACTATCGGTATACTCCGGCAAACCAAATAAATGCAATGGAAGTAATAGCCCTAATATCTGGCGGCAAGGACTCCTTCTTCTCCCTCCTCCACGCAATCGCAAATGGGCACAAAATAGTAGCTCTTGCAAACCTCCGCCCACCCACCACTGCTTCCGACCCCATAACCACTCACCTCCCCAGCACCACCCCTCTAACCCTGCTTCCCAGCACCCCAGGAACAAAAGATGAACTTGACAGCTTCATGTACCAAACCGTCGGCCACACCGTGCTCTCACTATACCCACATGCCCTCAAAATTCCTCTGTACAGGGGGGCCATAACCGGCACATCCATTGACCAAAACCTCTCGTATGCACACTCCGGCGAGCGCGGAGACGAAACGGAAGATTTGGTGCCCTTGCTAGAACACATCATCACCCAGCACCCGGGTGTGAAAGCGGTTTGCACAGGGGCGATACTGTCCACTTACCAAAGGACTCGGGTAGAAAGTGTCTGCGAGCGCCTGGGTCTGATCTCGTTGTCTTACCTATGGCAGCGGGAGCAGGCTGAGATATTAGCAGATATGGAAGCCGTGGGGCTGGATGCTAGGATTGTCAAGGTCGCAGCGGTGGGACTCGATCCTGAAGAGTGGCTGTGGGAGAACGTGACTAACGCGCGGAGAAGGAAGATGTTGGATGGGTTGGAGAGGAAATGGGGGGTTCATGTTGCGGGGGAGGGAGGGGAGTATGAGACTGTGGTCGTCCAAGGGCCCGGGTGGAGAGGGAGGATTGAAGTCCCAGAGGAGGGGAGGGAGGTTGTTAGTACCGGAGGTGGGGTTGGGCATTTGAAAATTACGAAGGCTAACTTTGTGCTGGGAGAGGAGGTGGAGGAGGAAGCACAGCAAGGGGGTTGGGTAAAAGATCTACGGATACCAAATATCTGGGATACGGAATTTGAAAAAATTCTTAAAACTATCATTTCTACACTCCCAGAAACACCCCTCTCCCCACATCCTCCTTCCTCTTTACTCCCTTCCCCCCGTCTCAACTCACCCCCAAAACCTTCAGTGTCAATCTTCTCCCAAACCCTCTTCATAAACAACCTCACTTCCCCACCCCCCTCCCCCTCTACCCAGCAAAGCATTACAGCCGAAACTTCCTCCCTCCTCCAAACTCTCTCCACCCACCTCGCCGCGCACGGCACCTCCTTCAAACACATTACAACCTGCACCCTCCTCCTCCGGCAGATGTCCCACTTCCCCTCAATCAACTCCACCTACTCCACCTACTTCACAACTCCCCTCCCCCCCTCCCGAATCTGCATCTCTGTTGGCGACCTCCTCCCGCTAGGCGTGAACATAATACTAAGCGTAACAGTTGACCTCCCCCTCCCTCCATTCCCGCTACGTCGGGGACTACACGTCCAGAGTAGGTCATACTGGGCACCAGCGAACATAGGTCCTTATTCACAGTCCATCACTTCCTCCAGGGGATGGACCTCGCTGGCAGGGATGATCCCGCTGGTGCCAGCTAGTATGGAGCTGCTCAATAATGCAGAAACGAGAGAAGAGGTAGTGAATCAGGCTGTGCTGGGATTGCAGCATATGTGGAGGGTAGCGAGGGCTGCGGAGGTGACAGGGTTTTTAGGCTGTGTTGTGTTTGTCACCAGGTGTGAGGTTGTTGGTCCCGTGGCTGAAGCATGGAAGGGAGCCTGGAAAGGGTGGAGGGGAGAGGTTGGGTGGAAGGGGCTTTGGTCATCCATTTCTCAATCATCCCCTAGAATGGAACGGGGTGATGACGATGATGAGGAGGAGGAGGAGGAAGGGGGGGGGGTTACACTCCCCCTGATAATAGCCCAAACCTCCTCCCTGCCCCGCTCTTCAACCTCCGAATGGGTCGGTACAGCAATAGACGGGCCCTGGCTACACAGGTTACAAACTGCTTATAACTCAAGCCTCTCCCCACCCTCCTCTTCCCTTCCACGCTTACATGTAACTTCCCAAAGCACAACATATGGTCCCAACGCCCCATACTCCCCTGCTGGTGGACTACAGACGTTCTGTCTACCCCCCTCATCACCCGGCGCGCTGGCTATCGAAATTAAAAAAAGGATTGGCGTAGAGCAGATGGAAGTGGGGAATGCTACTGTGTATCTGTCGGCTGGGGTGGCGTCCGTAGGGGAGTTTGACGTGGCATGGATGGAGTGCGTGGGCGAAGCAGTTGGTATGCAGGTTGTTCCCGTAGAAAGGGTGTGGGATATGGAGGGGAGAGAGATGGGGATTGGGGTTACGGCGAGGCTGGGGGGGAAGGAAGACTTTTGAAAATGGAAGGTGGGGAAGGGGAGGATTAGGTGTGGAATGTTAAATTTTGGGAGGGAATGGGTTGTATATGTATAGACGCGGGTTCAGACTCGATGTCCGGGTGATTAGATTCCAGATTAGATTCATGACGATAGAGGAAGTTGTATACTGGAGTACTTATTTGAAGCTGCGGATTCCACTGCATTTGCTTCTTGTCCCCTTAATCTCGTATCATAGTGAAGTAGTAATTTACTAGGGCCATCACTGTTCATCCTGCCCGATGGTGATCCCGGCAATAAACCCTCATTGACCCCCTCAAGATGCACTTTCTCTCGCGGGCTTCCGGCAGTGTCCCTTAGTGTCGGGCTCCCACCTAACCACCTCATGATTGGGGGGGGGGGTTTATTGAGTAGGAACGTCTCCATACATCCCTTCACGTCTATTCAGAAGCCAAAATAGGTGACGGTCTGCACCGTACTCGGATGTAAGAAGAAGTACGGCGAAGCCCCAGCTATCAAACAAATAGATGTAGTATCCTGTTGGCTACGTTCGCCACCACACATTCTTCTACCCCCTACGCAGTATCACAAGGCCTGTACGAGTAGACTTTACAGAAATCTGGTGGTTCCGCGGGGAGGATTTCCAAGTTAGCGATATCACCCTTCCCCCCCCCCATGTCATTGATACGACTAATTCAGCGGAGCTTCAATGCCATTACGCAATGATTCGAGAACCATAGGAGCGAGGACCGCAATAAGTAAGCGGTTGGGAGTAGAGGCTTACATTACAGTACAGTACCCTCACAGGGCTTGTCGGGACGAGACGTCGAATGGTGACTTGGATCTTGGGTGCTGACTTCCTACTACAGTATTGGCAGGACTGGTTTCTTATTGTTGCTCCTCCTTACCCGACGGCGATTTGTGAAGTGTGAAGTCCCTATTCGACAACAAATACCTTGGGAACTAAGCTGGGAGGGAAGGAAGGGGCTTGTTGTTGTTCCCGTCATGTCTTCTAGATGGGTCTCTAGACCTGATAATTGGTGCTGATCCTGTGTCCGGGTTTCGGGTTTACTAATTATCCGCCGACATAGTGCGCAATTTGTACTGTACAGTACAGTGTGCTTGTCATCTGTCTCAGATACTACTCATATTGGTCAGTCGGGGATCACCTGTGAGGGAACTAACAACACACGTATGGTTCGTGCGCTTCGTGACGGAGCGCCAGCAGAGAAAAGCATTTTGCTGGTTGTGTTCATTTGCAAGTATCATAAGTTGAGGCTAAAAAAGAGCAATTTCTGGGACCGACAACAAACTAGGTCTTCCTATATACTCGATGCAATCCAATAAATCGATAGCAAAACAAGATGCTGCAATCAATTTTTAATAAATTAATGAAATATACATCAAACGAAACCGGAAATTTCAATAGAGGTAGGGGTGATTTAGTAACAAGGGCAATTGGTTGGTGAGAACAATATGGTGAAGCCTTCCGGCCCTTTCTTCACAAACCAAATTTTTCTGAAATGAAGTCGAATTCAGGGCACCCCGAGCGAGAATCGCCGGTATGATACTCGGGTATGGATGTGGACGGCCAGGGGATTAGAGGTGTCAAAGATTCTTGCCTGTTTGAGCAAACTCCATACTAAACCCATCCATCCTTCTACGTACCGTATTTTCCCCATGGGGATAGAATGGTCAGGCCCGGGCCACATTCATATCCGAGTACGAATCTCTGAGCTATGAGTCCACGGGTGCGGTAAGCGCATTGGCCTGACCGTGTATCTGCAGAAACGTTTTTTGTCAAAGAGAGCGGAGAGATACAAATACCGGTATGTGTCGCATTAACTGGGGGATGGTGCAAGAGCAGTCAAATAAAGTATGCCACAATACCGGTAGCCGGACGAAACGCACTGCACAAGAGCCCCCCTTCCCCAAATACCGGTACGATAGGAAAGAAATCTCAATCACAGGAAGGATAGGGGAGACGGAGGTGTGGATGTCTCATCTTCCAGTTTCTCAGTTTATATCAGATCACCAAGCTGTAACTTATGATACTCGTAACTTATCATACTCGAGTAGATGCCAAGCTCGCTGCAGGCTGTATGGTAGGAGCGACCGGTCCTGATTTCGTCCCTGATTCCACCGTGCTCAAGTACCAAAGATTTAGCGGTTCGCTTTTTTGAGGGAAAGTGCTTCTAAAAAGGGTTTACTCTCACTCGCCAATTGCACCACACCTTATCTGAATGCTCTTATGCTAGCTATCTCAGATGAATGCGGATATTGGCCGTGCCAGGCTACACAATGCACGATCATATCTGTGCATTTCAATCAATATATATTATCCTGGTATCGTGCGTATCCGCCGAAACTCCGCAGAGATAATAACCCCGAGCAATCCTGGGCCCAAATACCTGTAGCCCCGTTATGATATCTCCCGGGCTGCTGGGATGGTGGAAAATTTTATGCCATCCGCCTCTGTTAGTGTTTAAGATAGAGATGACTAAGGTCTCCCCTCAGTACCAGTATCATACCCGCAGTCTTCAGTGGTGATGGCCGCAGGTGCCAGGATGCGATCATGCACCGGTAGCTAACAATAGCCACGGCCTGAGGTGGGCACATCTGCGGATCTGTAGCAATTGACAGAAGTTGCTATCAACATGTGTCTCAGACGCTGACAAGGACCACACAGATTCTTCCACCATCTCCGTAGTCTATGAGATGGCTTATTGGGAAATATCGACGATCCTGGAAAAAAAGGTTAGAGCTAGGTAGATACTATGCTTGATATCAAAAGGCCGAGAAATGACCCTATCGAGGTGACATGTTACCTGGTATCATATGGTAAACAAAACCCAACTGCCATAATGGAAGAAACCATATTCCTTTTCGGGGGATATGGTAGCAACAGCCAACAATCGACTTTGACCGTTTCAAAATATTGCGTGGAAAATAGCCTGCACGGGCTATTCCCTTATCCGGGACGGGCTTGGTGACATGATACTTATAAAGGTGCAAAATTCTCACTCATGCCGGTATGGAGGAGAACCTGGCGGGCTCACTTATGCGCAGAAAATAACCTAAACGGGGAGTCTCCACTCACCGTCATCATTTGTCAAGCAATAAACCTCTTTCACATAGTATCACATGCGCTTCGAACGCCGGAAAATATTTAAGCCTAGCTTGTAAACAACCACTCTATCATACTGTACTCGTACTCCAGGGGTGAAGACATTAGATACCCTGGCGGACTGGCCGAGCAACAGCCCCGCGGAGGCCATCCACTGCTAGATGCAACATGACTGTAATCAGATAGGATTACAAAACACGGTCACCGCCCGCCATCAGTACTCGAAATCTCTTGAGGACGTTTCTCAATATAGCACCAAATTCAGTCTCATCGAGGACCGTAAAAAAATTGTACTTCACACTCCTCCTCCTCCTCGGCCCTACCTGCCTAGTGGGAGTGACCCGCCACACCCCCATCGCAAAAATTCGAATGCCGGAGAAGGAAAATGTGCTTGGAGGTTGTACTGTACCGTTATTGCCTCTCCGGGTAACACGCCGGGCATACCGGCACTCCCAGTACTTTGTCTAGCCCAAAGCGCCTCAAACGGGGACTCATGAAATGCTAAAGGCGGATCTCTAATTAGATGATCACGGAAAGCCCAAAAGATGTAGCCCTTTCCTCGGAGAAATAAGTGGTTTTTTTTATCTTTGATCAGACATCTCCAGCTAGGGAGATCAGCCGTGTAGAATGCAAAATTTCAGTGAGAGTGAAACACGCACCACCCGAATACACCGGTATTCGCAATGTACTGTACTGTACTTGTACAGTAGGATACAGGCATGATACCAGCAAAACCGCCCGGTATCATAATATTATGATACATTACCAGAGGTGTGTGTAACCTCAGGCCCTGGGGTTGAACCGGTTGCCATGAAACCGTCCACCACCATTCGGCTTTTCACGGACCCACCTTTTGGGCACTTCGCACCCAATCAACTGCAGGCTTACCGCAGTTTGCGGTGCTTTCCCGTCGCTTAGCCCAGAAGGGGAATTCCAACGTCCTATCACAGCAAACTTCTCCCGGTATTCGAGTCCTACCATACCCGTACTCGAGAAGTCTATCACCATGCCCAAGAGATGGTTGATTATTACCCCGAGACGTACCAGTCTAGCACCTATCAGAGAATGGACACTACCGGTACCATGAGGGAATAAGGCCGAATTTTGGAACTCCAAGTAATTTGTCCCATATCTTGTGAGCGGGATCTTTTGGGCAGCAAACGACGGACCAAGGGATACTGTAGGTTAATGGTTCGATGGGGTGCCCATTCTTGACTGTCGCCCAATCGGACAAAGCATAACAACGGCAGACCGAGTGCGCGTCCATGATTAGGGCCTACATGCGCACTGGAGCTAATATATTTTCCGAAAGGGCAAAGCTGTCTCCAGTCCAGAAATCCGATTCTCAAGTCACCAAACCTATCAAGTCCATCGACACAGGTTTCATGTATTTTTCAGTTCGGCGTGTCTAAGACCTCGGTTAATTTCTGTATAGACCCTTCCTATCGTAGCGAAAAATGGACGGGAAGAGGAAAAAAAAACGAGGCCCCGAGGCTGACGGTGGGATAGCATCGGTAGGATTGGATTCGAATCCCGTATGCATGTAAATCTACTTGTATCATACCGCATAGAAAAGCGCACCTCGCCAACATCACCCCCCAACACACCCCCCATATACCAATAGACCTTAGTCACAGCCCACCTTTCCCCGCTTCAGACCTGGAGTTGCCTTCCTTCGCTTTCCGTGCCGCCCCCTTTCGCCTTCTCAGCTAAATGAGAGCTTTCCTGCGTGCTGTCCCGGTCACACGATCTAGTCTCCCGCACCCCCGCTCTATAAGTCGGCTGAGAAACTACAGCTCCATCTCTCAACATCGTTCATCTGCTGCTACTACTACGACTGCTGCTACTGCTACTGATACTTCATCTTCACCTTTACAAAGTCGACATAGACTCGTTGCATCTTCGTTAACTTCTCGCCAGTTCGTCCGACGCTGTTCTGCTCACAGAATGTGTTGCGGTAATGATTCTTCTGGCTCGGTCGATATCACTCAGGGGAGGGAAGTCTTGCCGGGGAATGTGAAGCCAACCCATTACGCCGTTGAGCTCGAGCCGAGCTTTGAGACGTTCAAATATGACGGGACTGTTACAATTGAGTATGATCCCCGATAGTTGATGTTCCCAGAGTTCGTAGGCTAATGACGGCCGTGATAATAGTTTGGCGGTAGTGAAGAATAGTACTACTGTTGCTGTCAACCTTATCGATATTGATATTAAGGAGGTCTCTTTGGAATACAATGGAAGCTCTCACAGTCCTACCGATTCCAGGTATTTTTTTTTCTCCGTTTCATTTTCGACATGGTGGTGGGGGTGCTAATTGGTTCACTGATAGCCATGACGAGGAAACCCAAACTATTACTTGGACTTTCGAGGAGACTATTCCTGAGGATACCCAGGCTAGCCTTACCATCAAGTTCCAAGGATTTCTCAATGATAACATGGCTGGTGAGTTGATTTGATGGTTAATCTTCGGGACCCTAGCTGATGGCATCCCAGGTTTCTACCGTTCATCCTATAAGGATGAGGAAGGAAACATCAAGTATATGGCTACTACCCAGATGGAGCCTACCGATGCTCGGAGGGTGAAACCAATGATGCCCATAGCTCTTATTGGTGGACCTGATGCTTACAAGTCCCAATCCCGATAGGCTCTCCCTTGTTTCGACCAACCGGATCTCAAAGCTACCTGGGATGTCACCTTGATTTGTGACAAGAACCTAACCGCCCTATCAAACATGGACGTCAAGGAGGAGAAGGAACTCGACAATGGAAAGAAATCCGTTTCCTTCAACAGAAGCCCCAAGATGTCCACCTACGTGACTACCCCCCATACATCCCCCTAGTACCACACTCGCTTACAATTGATTTAACTTCCAGCTTCTCGCATTCATCGTCGGAGATCTGCGGTTCGTCGAGAACAACGACTTCCGGGTCCCCATTCGAGTTTACGCTACACCAGGTTCGGAACATCATGGACTTTTCTCGGCAGAGCTCGCAGCAAAGACTCTCGAATTTTACGACAAAACCTTCGATTACCCATACCCGTTACCAAAGATGGACATGGTTGCCATTCCCGACTTTTCGGCGGGTGCCATGGAGAACTGGGGTTTGGTCACATACCGAGTCGTCGACTTGCTCTATGACGAGAAGACCGCTGCGTTGGACCGAAAGCAGAGAATTGCCGAGGTCGTGCAGCATGAGCTTGCTCACCAATGGTTCGGAAACTTGGTCACTATGGACTTCTGGGAAGGACTGTGGCTCAATGAGGGTTTTGCTACCTGGATGAGTTGGTACTCTGGGAATAAGTTTTACCCCCAGTGGAAGGTTTGGGAATCATATGTTACCGACAGTTACGCGGGGGCTCTGGGATTGGATGGATTGAGGAGTAGTCATCCCATTGAGGTGCCGGTAAAGAAGGTTTCCGAGATTAACCAAATTTTCGATAGTATTTCTTATTTGAAGGGAAGTTCTATATTGAGGATGATTTCGGTCTACCTTGGTGAGGACGTTTTCCTAGAAGGTGTTAGAAGGTACTTGCGGAAGCATGCATATGGAAATACCCAGGTTTGCTTCCCCCCCCATTTCGTCTTCCGCCCAAGGCTAATTGTATAAGACTGGTGATTTGTGGGCAGCTCTCAGTGATGCTAGCGGAAAACATGTCGAGAGCGATATGGCGACTTGGACCAAGAAGATTGGCTACCCCGTCATTACTGTCGAGGAGCAGGGTAGCAAGCTTCACTTGACCCAAAACCGCTACCTCAGAACCGCAGATGTCAAGCCCGAGGAAGACGAGACACTATGGCCCATCTTCTTGGGTCTCCGCACTAAGAGCGGCATCGCCGATAATCTTACCTTCAAGACTAGGGATACCACGATCGAGCTTGACGACCCGGAATTCTACAAGCTCAATGCCAATCATACCGGTGTCTACCGTACTCTGTACCCTCCAGAACGCCTTGCGAAGCTTGGCCAGGCTGCCGACCTTCTTTCTGTAGAGGATCGCGCAGGTTTACTCGGGGATGCCGGAGCCCTTGCTACGAGCGGATACCAGAAGACTTCCGGCCTATTGGATCTCCTTGTTGGCCTCAAGAACGAGAAGGAGTACATTGTCTGGTCCGAGGTTGCCTCTAGAATTGGTAACATCAAGGCTGCCTGGCTTTTCGAGCCCAAGGAAGTCTTCAAAGGATTCAGGGGGCTCCAGAAAGACCTCTTTGCACCAATTGCCCACGAAATCGGCTGGGATTTCAAGCCTGAGGACAGCGATATCCTCCAACAGCTCAAAGCGTTGACTTTTGGTCAGGCCGGATATGGCGGTGACGAGGAGGTCGTTGCTGCCGCGAAGGAGATGTTCAAGAAATTTGCTGATGGTGATGTTGATGCTATTAACCCCAACATCCGCACTCCAGTTTACCATATCGTATTGCAGCATGGTGACAATGATGGCGAGAAGGAGGTTTGTTGTACCCGCCCCGGCAAATGGCGCCGCATATGCTTACCTGGTTGTAATAGTGGGACATAATCCACAACGTATATCTGAATGGCCGTACTAGCGATCAGCGCAATGGAGCCCTCCGCGCCCTTGGCCGCTCCGAGAACGCAGAAAATATTCAAAAGACCCTTGATATCTGTCTCAATGGCGAAGTCAAGGAGCAAGACGTAAGTAATCTATACTCCACACTCTCCGCTCACCTACTAACACATCTAGATCTACCAACCGATTAGCGGTCTCCGCGCCCATGCCGCTGGCACGGAGGCTCTTTGGGCCTGGACACAAAAGAATTGGGACACCCTCGTCAAGAAGCTTCCACCTGGCCTCTCCATGCTCGGAGGCGTCGTCAGCACCTGCACAGGAGGCTTCACTTCCGAGGAGTCCATCGCAAATATCGAGAAGTTCTTCGAGGACAAGAGTCAGAAGGGATTTGATAGGAGCTTGGCTCAGAGTCTGGACGGAATCCGTGCTAAGGCTGCTTGGGTCAAGAGGGACGCTGATGATGTCAAGGCTTGGTTGAAGGCGAAGGGGTACACGTCTGCAGAGAAGTTGTAGGTTTATCTGAGTGCCGTGCCTCTTTTATTTTTCGGTGGCATCTAGAGTAGCTTTTTAGAGTGAATATAGATGGTTTAGCGGATTGAAGTGTAGAGATATTTGGTGTGACATACCGGTAGTAGCGGTTGCTTACCAGCACTGTGAGATGTGCTCGGAATGCTGGTAATGAAAAATATCCACACCACCCACCCCCTCGATGATCCACTCCCCCCAACTTAATCAACCAAACTCCCAACCGCGAAAGAAAAAGAGAGAAACTTCTCCGCGACCACAAAAGCATCAGAAGGTGATGCGCCAGAAGGGAATCGAACCCCTGCCGATTGCTTGGAAGGCAATTATCCTACCACTGGACCACTGGCGCTGGATAGATTCAGTTTTCCACTTTTACACAAAAGGGTGGTTTTGGACTTGCGCATTGGCCAATGCACCAAGCATTTTTTCCGAGCCGCAATCGATCACGTCCCATGGAGCACTCCCACCACGACGATTCCACGCTATGATACATAGAGCACAGCACAACAATGTCCGAAAACAAAAACACATACCGGTAGTCTAAGTTACAAGCCATTATCCACCTACGATACATCATCCCTTGCCGATACAGTAATCCTCCTCCGTATTATCGTAAAAACATTATTTATTATTGTTATTATTAATTATTAATTATTAATTATCAATGTAAGACCAAACAACCTCGCTTCCATCCGACCTGAACGAAGGAAAAATGAGTTGGATCCGGCCTAACTTTATTCTCGAAGACTTTTTTTGTTTTTGTTTTTCCCGAATGGGTTTTTGGCATCTATTTCGTCATGGAGAAATGGTACGGTTAGACGTGACAGTGTCTTCTTGCTTTTTTGATCTGGAGGGGGAAGGAGAAAGGGAAAGGAAAGGAAAGGAAGGTGGGTTGGCTTTGTCGGGTGGGGGATTTATATCATAAACTTTGGGTGGGATTTGGCTTGGCGGTTGATGGGTTGAAGAAAAAAAAAGTTAGTTAGGGCCGGGTTCTAGGGCAACTGTTTTGCCCAAAAGCTTACGCTGACTTGCATCTAAACCTACAGTATCGTGCTATCGTACGCTTCGCGCACTTCCGCCGGGGGGTGTAGGTATTGTATGCTCTCGAGTTGACCGATGCCACGTATTTTCCAATCATTAAGCTTGCTCAATTCCCGTCCTTGCGAGTTGAGTATGGTACGGTATATAATAGCTAGATATTACATGGATCGATGCCCTGATATTTCCCAATTATAAAGGGGAAAAGGGGAAAGAAAAAAAAAAAAGATAACCAAAGATATCCCAATGTTACATATAACACAGACTATTAAAGACCTAAATGAAGAAAAGGTAAAAGATGAAGGTGAAGAGAAAGGTAGTGGGGGAAAGGTGCGGTTTATAACAGAACGACGACGACGGCAGAAACGGTGCTTTTAACAGTGAAGGTAAACGTAGGTATGAAGAAAGTGGTTAAACGGATTCAAACAGGGGTTAATATGGAATCAGAAGTAGTAGAGTGAGAGGGCGAGAACGGAGGGGGAGGAGGTGCTTCTCAAAAAGAATGAGAAAGAGATACCCATATTTACACCTTCCAGGCTGAAAATAAACGATATTATACCCAAACTGGAATGGGAAAACCAGTCCAGGGTCTCTCCAGAATACAGTACTCCAAAAAAACTCACCTCCAACCTTCCAACCCCCATACCTACAAAGCCGCCATAACGATCTCGTTATCCATCATCCCCATCTCCACATCCTCAACCGCATCATCCAAAGCCTCATTGCATAGCCATTCAACACCCTTCACGCACCGCCCAACAATGCTATTAATACTATTACTCTCCTCGTCGGCGGCACACTGGCCCGGAACTGGTCTTGGCCCCCAGCCAACGGGGAGTACTGCTCTTTCTCGAGAGTCCCTGTCGAGAATGACAATCGCGTCGAGAGCTTGCCGACCACCACCGAGGGGGTGTAGGAGACCCAGGGAGAGTGTTAATGCACGGGTGCGGTCGTGAACTATGAGTGTTAAGGTGAATTGGCCTCTGGTTTATGCTTTTTTTTTTTCACAAGGATGGTATTGGGACTCACTAATTGGCAGTGAAGAAGTATACGGTGGAGGAGCGGACAGGGAGACACCGAATACGTCTGTGTTTAAATTGCCCAAGAGACTGGCGACCTGACTGTTTTTTTTTTCAAACGGAGATTTCTCCTATCAACCCAATCCGACCCACCACGAAGCAAATAAAGGGGGAAAAGAAAAAAAAAAAAAAAAAATACTAACCCCAAACTTTGCAAATGCTCAATCGTGCATCCAAGGAAACACAAGACCGTAAACCCCCTGCTCCGCCGTAAATCACTCACTTTCCTCCCACAATCCAAACTCTCCGCGCCAGGCCAGAGCACATCCACAACAACCGCTTCTACCCGCGCGTCTAGGCCAATACCATCGCCTTTACCAGACACCCAACTAGGCCTCTCGCCAGCCCTCTTTGCACGCAATCTCTTCTGCGTGTGCGAGCGAGAAGGCGGTCTCGAAGACGGTGGCGTATCATCCGCGAAAGCAATCTGCGGAGACCTCTTCTTTGACGACGCGGCAGAGAATAGCGGCGGTGAGGGCGAAGGCTGCGGTGGCGGCGGTTGTGGTGGCCGGCACGACATCGGGAGCGGGGAGGTTCGAAGAGAGAGCGACTCTGGGCAGAGGACGAGCGGAGAGAATGTGCTAGTGGTGGATTTGTTTGTGAAAGCGGTGAAGTTTCGAACGAGTATCCTGTGGGGAACGGGGTGTTGAAGGATCGGCTGGGTGATGCGAGGGGGGGAGGTGACCAGAAGGGGAGAATTGTACTGGAGGCCCATTGCTACTGGTATGGGAAGGGGGGACCTCGGAAGCACGGTTCGTTTTCTGTTTGGCCAACGGCAGGGTTTATTTTCTTTTTTTGAATAACTTTTCGGGGAGCCGTTTTCTACCGGGTCAACTACGGTACTCGAGTATTGTTAGATGAGTACTGATACTTTACTGCTCGAGTAGAGCCAATTCGGAATGAAAGGAAACGGATGAGGCCCTCTTTCTGGATCATCCAAAGGTCAATGTGGATATTTTCGGAGGCAGGAGGTATACGAAAGAAGAAGGAGGGGATTAAGAAGCGGCGGGGGGAAGTGGGTTTATAGGGAGATGATGTAAAGTGAGGAGTTAGTGAGGGGGGGGGGAAGAAGGGGGTAGGATTTGAGAGAAGTGGGGGAATAGGTGGGGGGGGAGGGGAAGTTTTGGTGAGGGATGTAGGTATCATGGTATCATAGACTATGTCGAGAAAAACAAGGACAAAGAGATATAATATCCTACACCTATTTTCTTCTCGAGCAAAGTTATCGCCAGTCCACGGAATAAGGTTCACGCGGGGGTATAATGGAGCAAGGTCAACATATGGGGAAAATGGGTTGATATAGACTCCATACTTGCGTAGTATAGTACAACAGAGGTACTGTACCCGGTGTCGGGGGTGTCGGGGGAAAAAGCAGTTAGCCGGATTGGTAATGATTGACTCTGGACCGTCTTCCTTTCCCGGGCCCTTTGGCAATCTGTGTATCTGTGTATGTTTACAGTACTCGTCCGAGTACCGCCGTACCAATAAGTGGCTTAGCGAGATAACAAATTAGCAACCGCTCTCTTGATATGATACTCCACAATTTCCGCAAGATCATAAAGGACCCAAGCTGAGAAAGGAAGCACTCACTCCTCCTCCCTCCCCTGCCGATACCCGGTTCTCCACAATGTACGAGTAGACCAGAGAGACTATTTGTTAGACCGCCACCAGAAACAGCCAACAACAAACCAAGCAAAATCACAGGATAAATAAAACGGTCCCGCAATTTCCGACAGCAAAACCGGACGCACGCGGCCAGCAGGTTGGTAGTGATGGCGCGGAAATCGCGAGCAACAAGGACCGGCGTTCCGGCTCAAAAACCCCGATCTTGTCAGATTATTATCATACAGGCATTCTACGGGTATGATACTGTGCACATATCATACGATAGTATAGTGCAGCGTACAATAAAGGCACTGATCTGAGCGGCTGTTGCTGGGGATCGTGAGGCAGTATTGGACTTCTTCCCCCGGGTTGGTATTGTAGCCTGGGAGATGGTGATAGCCTTGTGCGGTGGCTGTAGCTCATTGCCGTATTTTGTAGGATGAGTTTCGGAAGGGGGCGTCGTGGCCCACTTGTACGAGTATCATACAGTACAGCGCGGTAGCATTCCCATCACTTAGCCAGCGGGGAGTCTAAGCTGTTATTTTTATTATTTTTATTTTACTCTCACCGCTGGGTTCTCCTGTTTAGAGCTCTGGCGGGGCTTCCAGTTAGGTGGTACAGCTTGTCTCTCATGGGTAGAAGAGGGGACATGGCGGGGCTCACCAAACCACTTAAATATGGGACATATGGTGTCACTCGATTTCTGGATACATAGGCGGAGCTGGGGTGGGGAGCGTGATGTATCGTATAGTACAGCACTCGCGCATATATGAAGTTACATCAAGCACAAGAGCAGTAGGAAGGGAAAAAAAGGCTCGGTAGTGCCCAATTGAGCACCCTCAACTATGTTTTTGGTTTATGTTGACACATCCGACCATGACCATACCCAGGGATCTAGCAAATCTCTAGTATATCTACCCCTCTACCCTTTCACGCGAGCTCGGCCTTACTCGTCTTCGCTATCTTCGTCATCATCGTCGCTCTCATCAATGTCGTCAATATCATCATCGTCCTCCTCTTGTCCGTCTTTCAAGCCATACTTCAATCCATAATCATCTTGGAAGAATGACAAGGGATTGACCGTAACAGTGAAATTTTCCTTCTCATATGCCGCTTTGATAGACTTAATTGTCGGGAGAAATGGTCAGCGCCCCCCCGTTCCAAACTAGATCACTTTGGGGATAAGGGTAAAGACTCACGTCAGTTTTCACCGGTGCGGTAACGATTATGTTGTTACTTGTATCATACTGGAATATCGGCACCAAAAATTCTTTGAGACTGCTCCTCAGATCATCCACTGAAACCTCCTTCACCTTCTTTAATAATTGCATGTTATAGTCCTTTGACCGGTTATGGACGACCTGGTTCACGAAGGATACGGTGGCGGCAGCAGACATAGTGGATTCGCCATCGGCAAACGATACAACTATTCCGCTGAGCGCACCTTCTAGAGCGTGTTTGTTGAATGCGACAGTCCCATCTATATGGTCATTTATCACTTTCCTCGACACCTCCCATGCTCTATAAGCATCAGGAGAACGGTAGATAGTGTAAAACAGGTGACCGGCATCCAAGTCTTTCATAAAGTGGGTTGAGTAAGCCAACCCTGTTCCCCGAACAGCCCTTCGCACTCAAGCATTAGTACAAACTGACGGCATCGAGGGAAATGTATGACTTACCTCCATAGAGGGCCTTCAACGGCATCAAGATATGATATAGCCAGAAGGAGTGCTGGAAGCTTAGGGTGACTTGGGCTATCGGGTCCGACAGCGAAATGGATTGAAAAGGAGGAGTCAATCGTCGGAAGTGGGACAATATGCGTGATTTTTCCTGGCTTTGCACCCTCGGGTGTGAGCCGCGGCCCCCTGCGGTCGATGGGTGATAGTTTACCGCTCTAGTCATATTACACCGAGTTAGTACTCATCCTTCCTGGTAATTAAAAATGGTATCCCGCTCCCTCCAAGACTTACAAATGGCCGACCATCAGTGAAAACCTTCCACGCCGAGACCGGATTCTTTAGTTTTGCCAACTCTCCAACTATAAGTATACGGATATTGTCGATCATGGTAAATTTTTGGCGCAACTCCTCGAACTTTTCTATAACTTCTTCCGGTTTGTCCTCAAGAAGCTTGCTAATGCGTTTAAGATACAATGCTTTGGTAAGAGTATCCTGAGCCCGGGAAACTGAGTGACGGGAATACGCGACCATGCGAGCTACAGACCAGCTCATCTGCAGCAGATATTAGAGTGTAACAAAGGCATTAGTATATGCTAGAGGCTCACTTGGTTTCCCTGCCGCTTTTCCTCGGGAATGTCGCTCTTCATTTTTGTAAGAGTTGTAGCAAGGCGCTAACAAACGAGTCAACAAATCTCCTAATATCCTTGAGAGGGGGTAATATCCGGTACCTTTTTATCAAATATGCTATCCCACATTAACTCCCGTAGCCATTTTATGGCTACCTCGTACTTTTCTGGCTCTATCCGGAAGTTAATTCTGATGTTCTCTGCTGCATCCATATATGAAGCTGAGCCAATATCATAATCCACTGTATCCCTTTCCAGCTCTGCCACAACCTGTTCAAATTCGATTCTCACACCGCCCCTCGCCACTGGTGTATCAAAGAAATTTTCGAGATACACCGCCAGCAAAGGGCGCCGCTCTACAGGGATTGACTCAGTGGAGATTAGGAGAACGATTTTGACGAAATTCGAGGTAACGTTCTCGTAGTGCAAATATAGTGGAATACCTACAGAGTCTTTGTCAATGATTTTTTGGGCCTCGGTATCTCTGTGTAAAGAACTGGTTAGTGGCTTTGGAGTTTGATTCATAAGGCATTACCCACGTTTTCCATTCCTCAGCCGCCAGTCCAGCTCTCGCGGTCTTCAGAAGGGATTAGCCCCAGTCCAATATTACAAAATATTACATAGAGAAAGGAAAGGCTTACATCAGTTTTTATAAAATGAATTGCTTCTATGCCAGGAACCGGAAATTTCCCCAGGAGCTCTTTTGGAATTTCTCTCTCATTGTCCGTGGTTGCCTCGTCTAACCTTTCCTGAAGCTTCTTAAGACCTTCCTCGCCTAGCTCCTTCTTCCTTGCAGCTATCCTTGCCCTCTCGCCCTCTTCGATACTCTTGGCCAGCTTTGCGGATGGGCGCCCCAAAACAGAGACATGCGTATTTTCCGCAACCCATCTTCTTAGGAATTCTCTCCAATCCTTCTCGCTCCATTTCTCAAGTTCATCATACCAGGAGAGAGTCTCAATGTTCTTCAGAGTACTACCATCTCGCTTTCCAAATAGGTGATCCGTAATGACTGGAGTAGCGAAATACTCTCCAGAGTTCTCGAAGCCGTATTTCTTCTGTCGTTTTGTACGCCTCAGGCACTCCTGCATGTACTTAAAATCCAAAGGCTCGTCGACCGTTTTCTTCAGTGCCTCGAAGAGCCTTTGCTCAGCTTCGGCTAGACGTTTTGTAGAAACACTGGAGAGCGACAGCCATATCAAAGAATCTGGCCTATCCTCCACGTAGAACATGGCGCTAGAAGCAACAGGATCTTCACATTCCACCAATTGGCTCTCTAAAACAGAGACAGATGACCCAGTAAGAAATGTGCCAAGGGTTTCGAGGGCTGCCGTCGATTTGGGATCAGTGCAGTCGGGACCCAAGAAACCAACGATTACTTCCCCCCTGGACTCATCCTTTTCTGGAAATTCAACCGTAGATATAGATGAACTGTTTAATTGTGGAACCGGCTTCGACTCGATCCAAGGTCTATGAAACGTTTAGCACAATTTGATAAATCTAGAAAAGCCAGGAAGTCCGAACCTTCGCCAGGGCGCATTTGGGTCTGAGATATCCTCCATTATAGAATCCTCAAACTCATCCAGAATTTTCAACAACTCACCATGGACGATCTCCCCTATTATCACAACACACAGATTTTTCGGCTGATACATATCTTTGTGAAACTCCCTGATCCTGTCACTTGTCAGAACTCTCAGGGCGCCCATCATCCCCCCAGTTTCGTATCTAAAGCCAACTCCCTCAGGATATAACTTCCGGACAGCCTCAAGATTGGTTAATGTGCTTGCTGTGTTTTCTACACCCTGCATCTCGGAGTAGACAACCCCTGCATCTTGCCCTTCACTATTGATGTGGTGGACCTCAGTATAGCACGCGCTGTCGGTTATGGTAGGGAGGAGAACATGTTCGAGGTAAACCGGCAGAATCTGACCGAAACCTTCCCAACCAGCACTCTCAAGAGTGTATGCTGTATGGTCCGTGGCGGTCCAGGCATTCGTATTAGAGTATGCCCTATAAATGAGTCAACGAAGGGCCTCAATGGCACAACCAATAACTTATTTGAGCAAAAGACTGAACAAGGCATTATGGTTGGGAATTAGTACCTGCTTGCCATCTTGTCTAGAACTCCCTTGTAACGGTAGTTCTTAGATCCCATGAAGCATAGATGTTCTAAGGTATGCGGAGCTCCTGAATCATCCAAGATCTCCGTAGCCAGAGCAAAGTATCCAAGAACTTTTGGACCCTCTCGGTCGACAACTACCGCAGACATTCCGGTTCTTTGGGACTCATATTTAGTGATAACACTGGGGGCATAGTCAGCCTTGAACTGGGTGATTTGCTTGAAATGAGTTCCAGGCATGGTGGGCAAATTTGGTAGATATCTTCTAGATGGGGAAGGATGCCCAAGTTCCTTCACGAAGAGGAGGAAAATTAGACGCTTAATCGCGAAGTCTGGCGGTGACTTGTAGCTCGGAAAAAAAAGCGTAACAGCCAGGTAAAAATAAAAGGAGAATACAGATGAGGATAAGAGCGCAGACGAAGAGGATGGCGCAGGTACCAGTAAATGGATGCAAGGTGAGGTTCGAAGTGAACAGTGCTACTTGTACTGGTATGTGAGTTGTACAGTACTTGTACTGGGGAATAATGTTCCACTAAAGGGACAGCTCAACGGCAGGCTGAGAAAAAATTTTGAATGACGAGGATTGCGGGGTCAAAGTTGTGTGTGCATCTCCGCAGCTAGGGAGCTCGAAATGAATACACCCATCATATTTCATAGAAGAATTAGTGCCCCCTATCACACAATTTTACGATTGGAGGGACAAAGGTAAGATTGCTGACCCCGACGGGTCAACAAGATTCTGCGAAAATTTTTTACTTCTATGATACCGGTACTCGAGTGCGCTGGTAATACGAGTAGAGGTTGCATTGTCATTACGGGGCTTATTTTTTCCAATTGTATAGCAGCGTCTTCTTGAGAGGCTCTTCGTCGATAACTCCTCGCTAACTGTCTTCAACCTTCCCTGATAATGTCCTCGCATAGGTTAATGCCTATCCTATTACCTGCCAATGCACTCGTAACTCTCTACGAGCACCTGCAGAGTTTTTTCCTTGTTAAATCCTTATATCGGTATTATCGTTTAACGGCACAACCATTTGTAAAGGCACAGGCACATATCATAATAATGCTGTCTTATTATCATACCAAATTTGGTCAGGGCGGGGGGTTCAAGGAGCCACAGTGGATGAATATCTGCATATGAGTTTTACAAACTGAGTAGTGATGCCTGGTGCAAAACCGGCACAGCAGCTATCCTATTGCCGTTTTTGCCCGGGGATATTGGGGAACGAAATTATCGCTCCGTTACCGCCGCGACTGGAACCATATCGTGATGATCGGGTCTGTGGAATGTTATATAGGTGCTTCGCAGTGTGTCGAAAATTTCATTGATGATCACCGTATCAAATGTTAGAACTACGTTTTGACACTGGGTTGCGGTACCGGTATTTCAGTGCAGTCCTTTTTTGGTCCTAGAATGGCTCACGAGGAGGCTGTTTTTCAAGTATTGGAAATCTTGAATTGGTTCGACTTATGCAGGTATTTTTGGTGGCTAGAGGTGGCTTTGTTTCTAGGAGTGCTATCATACAGAGTATGGCCAGGCGTGGGTTTTCAAGTTGATGCGGTACGGTACCGTACAGTGTTGTTTTAGCCTAAGAATAGGAATGTGTGGCAGGCCATTTCTGAAAAGACTGATTGTATGATAAGGCTACTGCCCCTTCCTTCATAACTTGTCTTGAAAGGATAATTTGTTTCAAAACAATCCAAGTTGCGCTCGCATAGTGTGTGGTTTGAGATGCTAGATCTACTATCATGGTACCCGAGCACATGTGCAAATTGCGGCATGATAAGTTAGTACCGGTACTCCAGTGATCTTTACAGTGCTGATAAGTAACTTATGCCTTTAAAAAAAATGCTTGCAAGGGGGACGCGCCTTACACAATTCTGTGCGTAATTGAAAAACGGGGACTGCGTGCTCTTTACGCGTTGAACACGCCAATTAACACGTAAAACGCCAAGATTTAACCACAAAAGCCTCTAGCGCGTAGATTTTTTCGCGTCCTCGGCTGGTTGACCACCGCGCCAGCCACGCCTCGAACGCGACGCGCTACTAATAGGACTTTCAACCTTCTCATTAGTGACTCCATCCTCTTCCATTCCCTTGCACGCTCACCGCATTTATTCACCCACATTCCCTTTCTTTTTGAAGACTCATATATACCTTCTCCAACGCACTCACTTATTCATTCATTCATTCAGTCATTCATTTCCTCGGGTTTATTCGCCACGTCGCATCATCTCATAATGGCCATTGTTCTTGGTAAAAGGTCCAGGGCCACTTCTTTTGCCAGTATGTAATTCTCCTATGTTATACTCTAGGTGCTTGTATTAACTTCGGCCTTCACAGTTGTAGTTTCTTCGCCTCGTACTAGCAGTGATAGGGACACTCCGCAACATACTGGAGCAAAAAACGACATTCCTCCTCTAAGTGATACTCAACCAATGTTGGAAACGATAGTTGTGAGAAGCCCAAAAAAGCAGCGACGTAATTCGGTCCAGCAATCACAGCCTACAATGAGCCGTCAACCACTTTCTCCTCAAAAGTTAAATACAGTCCTTGGGCCCACCAAGGGGTCTGGTAATAATCCCTGCCGACCTCATCCTTTGGCGGTGAGTATATAGAACATTTTGCTTACTGTATCATAGATGAACAATCGAAACTACTGGAATGTCCAAAAACACCCCGGCATCGAGACTCGGTGAAGAAACCAGTCACTACCCCTAGGCATCGTGTCAGTGCGGTTGGGAAGCCTATCACCCCCAGACACGGGAAATTGTTTTCCCCAACCTCCGTGACGGCAACACCGACTAGCGTTCTAACTACGGCGAAAGCATTATTTTCACGTAGCTCTGCCCCCGGACGGTTGATAGGTCGTGACGATGAGAAGAGACAGCTCACAGAATTTCTTGAACCACGGATCAGCTCCCGCACAGGGGGATGTCTTTATGTTAGCGGTCCTCCAGGTTGTGGAAAATCAGCATTACTTTCTGAGGTCATGGCGGACTTGGGAGCTGATAAGTCAGAGACTGTTAAGACGGCTTACGTCAACTGTATGGCTGTCAAGGATCCCAAGGGAATATACTCCAAGTTGCTTGAAGAATTCTTTGTACAGGAGACATTGAGCTCTCCCACCGGGATGGAGGATCTAGAATGCCTATTTATCAGCAAGAAGGCCAGGAGGACTGCTGGCAATGTTTACGTTGTTGTGCTCGATGAGATTGACCATCTCTTGACCAAGGACCAGGAGGTTCTTTATAGCATCTTTGAATGGTCTCTCATGCAGGGCTCACAGTTGATCCTTCTTGGAATAGCCAACGCGCTTGATCTCACCGACCGTTTCCTTCCCCGCCTGAAGGCGAGGAATCTCACACCTCAGCTACTTCCGTTCCTACCGTACTCCGCATCTCAAATCGCAGCAGTGATTACTTCTCGTCTCCGTTCTTTACTTCCGGATGGAAATGAAACTCCGGGAGACTTCGTTCCGTTCATGCATCCCGCTGCCATCCAGCTAGCGGCTCGCAAAGTTGCTGGTGCAACAGGAGACCTCCGGAAGGTTTTTGACATCTGTCGCCGGGCTGTTGAACTAGTTGAATCGGAAACCCGCCAAAAGGAGCTAAAAATGAAGCAACAGCAGCAACAGGAAGAGGAGCCAAAATCGTTGGGTGAGATGATGAAGTCTCCAGCTCGTCAGCCACTGATGGAAAATGCGAACCTGAGCTCTCCACGTGTTCTTGTTAGCGCTCTCTCCTCCTTGACTATCGAGACAGCCCCACGCGCTACAATCGCTCATGTTGCTCGCGTCTCTTCCTCGTCATTCGGTGGATCTTCCATCACTCGTGTTAAAATGCTTAACTTGCAACAAAAGGCTGTCCTCTGTTGTCTTGCTACGACTGAAAAGTTCAATGGCAGTGTCACAATCAGAAAATTGTTTGATGTTTATACAGCTTTATGCAAGAAGGAGCGGCTATTACACCCATTGTCCTCGACCGAATTCCGCGATGTTGTTGCCTCACTTGAAGTTGCCGGTGTTGTCAACATGATGGCTGGAGGTATGGGTACACCAAGTAAGAGGGGAAGGGTTTCAGGTGGTATGGAGGAGAAGAGAATATCTACTTGTGTGAGGGAAATGGATCTGTTGACTGCTGTTGCGGATGTTGGCCCTATCTTGACAAAGTTGTTCTCGGACAGCAGGTAGTTGGGGTTTCTTAGTTCTCCTATTTTCTTCATTCGGTTTAATTGTTTTTCTCTGGATTATTCCTGCATTCTGTTGGGATGGCTCTCTTTTTTTCTTAGTAAAGTGAAGGATAAAATGTAATTACTATGGCGTGTTGAACGAGTGATAGTTGTGATTTCAACAGCAGAAGATGATGGGCTTGGATGAGTTGTTTCTTGGGTTGAGATATGTGGGTGTTGCAGTTCTTCATTGTAGGCTTGGGGTTTTGTATTTAGAACGAGGAGATTGTCGAGTGGGTATCCTGATCTTCAATTGCTCAAACCACTTGATATTGCGTCGCGTCTCCTCCGACTGTAAACACGCATCATACCAATAACCGTCGCGTTATGTAAAGTAGCAAGTTGCAACGAGAACGACTACCAAATTCAAAGCCAGAAGGCTGTTGCTGCATGCCGCTTTTGCTGGTCAAGTTTTGGGTGACGGTTATATTTCTGGCTGGCCCTCGACTGGTGACTTGTGTGCTTGGCAAGGACCTGGATGCCTTGGTCCCTGGCCCCACCTAAATATGAATCCTGGCGCCAAGGCACCCACTCTATGACTTTATGGATTGCCAAGAAAAACTTAAGATATCATACAAGTACCGTGTCGAGCTAGGGCTTTGCCCAACCCCACCACAAAGTGTAACCGACGGTCACAGTTGAGACTCATCGCACACACCGAACGCCCAGCCATTGTATCGTGAATGCACACGAATTTTCGAGACCCCTTAGGACAACACTCATCGGCGACATTCAGCGACAGCAGCCCCACGAGCCCATCAAAAGTCATCACCAGCACCATTTACCATGTCTGACTCTCAAGTTACCTTGAGAACTCGCAAGTTCATCCGCAATGCCCTTCTTGGAAGGAAGCAGATGGTTGTGTATGTTTTTACTCCCCCCTCTTGCTTTGGCTAAAGAATTCGAGGTATCGAAAGTGGGATTTAAATGGCTGACATTTTTTTGGGTGGCTCCTTTCAGCGATGTTCTCCACCCCAATAGGCCCAGTAATTACTCCCCTTCTCACTCCCGATCAGATATTTTTTTGCGGATCGCATTATGCTATGGGCGGGGGGGACTTGACTAATGGATTGATAGATGTCTCCAAGGACGATCTTAGGACCAAGCTCGCTGAATTGTACAAGGCCAACAAGAACCAAATTTCTGTTTTTGGTTTCCGCACACAGTATGGTGGTGGCAAGTCCACTGGGTTTGCTCTGATTTACGACACTTATGAGGCTCTTAAAAAATTTGAACCCCACCACCGTCTTGTTAGATTTGGAGAGGCAACCAAGATTGAGAAGGCGTCCCGCCAACAACGTAAGTCGAACCTGTGCCCCCCCTTTTTTTCTATACGGTTATAAATACGGGCATGTGCTGATGGCCGCGGATAGGTAAACAACGCAAGAACAGGGCCAAAGAGTCGAGAGGTACTGCCAAGACCAAAGCGGGCAAGGACAAGAAGAAGAAATAAACTACTCAATTTCCGGTTAAAAGTTAGAATCTCAAAAACTAGCCTTCACTATCCACGGGACTTGAAAATGGGCGGGGATAGGTTACTGGTTGGTGGATGGAAAGTGAAGGGTTGTGTGCTATTGGAGAGATTTCGGTTTTGTTTTTTAATGTTCTGCTATTCTTTACTGTGGGATAATTGAAAAATGGAGCAGGGAACGGCAGGTCTACATTTTATTTTTTTCTATCGCGGGCCCTTAGGCTTGGGGGTCCCATATCTTCAATCATGGCGCAATTCTAGTTGTTTTTTTACACTTTCTGGTCGAACCACTGGTTCCGGTTTCTTTGGTATGATATTTTGTAGAGATATTTGAATTGTGGACAAGCAGGTACGGAAAAAAAGGTAAATTTTATGGGTGGCTTTCGTTTGTTAGGGGAGATCTGAAACTCGCATATGATTGTCCCAGGTGTTTGTGCCCCATTTTGTGGACTCACAGTGTTATGCAAAGGTACCTTCTTGAATCAGTGACTTCAAGCTTGATTGCCAGTTCTGCGATCTTTGAATACTGGAGAAATGTTTCGTATTACTCCCATGGTGATCCACTGCCTCCAAAACCTATATGTACAGTACCTACTGGGACGTTGCTAGCGTATATGCTCTAATGTCTATTCTTAGATAGAATTTTGTGCTGAAGTACTGGTTGCGATCTAACAATAGGAGATGTGATTCCATGTATCACATAAGACTACTTGTACGGAAAAATTAATACCGAGAACTTACATGGCTTCCAATACACATTACAATTTACAGGCAAATAGGTGTTGATGGCATGGGTGCTATTTGATGCAGCAGAGAAGTTCTATGGGAATATTCGATCACGGTATTGGGAATTATTATATCATACTTGAGCTGAGATTGAGGTTTCTGATGGGTCCGATGTGCTCTTGCCTAATATTTCCTTATAATAATATGATAGCAATGCCGAGATCTGAGTCTCGAGCCCCGATACCCCACCAGAGGTGACTGCCACCGCTTGCATCAAGACTGGACTGTAGACCCCATGGCAGAGATTTATGGTCTCGGATGTTAAAAAATTTAATACTGCTTTTTAGTCCTTATACCTTTTTTCATTCCTGAGTTTTATGACCTTCTAGTGAGCATTTTGTCCTCGGATCCTCAAAAACTAGGCTCATAAAAATACGGTTTCGGTCACTCAATGGTGATCTGGCCAATGGAATTTATGGCACCGAGGAGTTAATCAATTTTATCCTCAAGTGGCGGACTGTCTTCCTATGCTCTGCAGTCCTAAATTGTGCTTCATC